TGTCTTTTTCGCTCTTCAGCCCTCTTGCGCTGCAGTCTGCGCCTCAAGGTTCTGGGATTCTGGGCTGGAAACTTGGGATGACTGATTTTCTCCCACCGTCTGGAAGGTGACCTGAGTGGCGGTTTGACTATCCTTGGAGATCTAGTACCAGTTGAATAACGTTTGGCACCTTCTGGACTGAAGTTCCTGGTCACAATGATCCTTTCTTGCCCCCCGAGCCTCTGCTGGTCTGACCTGACGCTCCTACTATGTCTGGATCTCTGCGCCTCAAGAACCCACCTTAAGTCTTCTGCAGCAAGGTTCCTTTGAGCATAAGGCAGACTGCGATTTCTGGCAACACTCCTGAGGTCTGCAACATTTACACCCACAGACACAGCTGGAAAAGGATCTGCATCCACTCCCATGGTTTCCTTCGCTTTGTCTGGAAATTTCAAGATACCCTTATCAATCTTTTCCAATGACCTCAAGGATGGCCCATGGTCTACAACAGGAGTAGCAGCCTCCATTAATTGGTGTTGTCTTTGCCCTTCACCAATGACAAAGTGTTGTTGTTGAATATTGGGATGAGGCTGATTCCCTTGCCCCCCGAGTGCTGGGATTGGGGCTTCCTGAATCTGTTTGGGCATTTCAACGACTGGAGGAGGGATCTCAGGTCTGGGCTGTCGCACTTGCTCAACCACTTGTTCTGAAACAGCCTGCAGTGGTTTGCAACTTTCTTCCCCAGTTTCTCTCATCACCCTAGTGCCTTTTTCAAAGACCCGTCTCATTTCTTCTATACATTGTCTAATTGTCTCTTCCTGGCGTCTGGAAAATTCTGCTTGACTCTCAACAAACCTCCGCATAGCCTGGTTCTTTTCTTTGAATGCTAAATCCAGACGTTCAGTCATACCTTTAAACACATTATTTGATTCAGCAAAGTCATCTCTGCGGTCTGCATCCCTTTCTTTGAAAATTGAATTGCCATAAGATCGCTCCACGAAGGGTGATAAGAAAGGAGGAACAACTAGATCATTCTCACCCTCCGAGTAAACTGGACTGTCATCTGCATGTTCAGCCTGGGCTGGCTGAACCTCTTTATCTTTGCTCTTTCTCAATGGCATGGCTCCAGACGCCTCTGAATGTACGAACAAAGGATTTGTGAACTGTAACTGATACATCCTGCTGGTTGTCCCACTGGGCGTGCCAAAAAAGGATTGTTTCCTCAAAAATCCTCAGCCGACCTTTACCACGTGAATTGGATGTTAGGCGTGCCA